TGTATATAAGTGCGCCAGGCAATTAATCGGAATTAGAATTGCAGACAGGCAGAGACAGAGACGGACAATTGAGGCAAGCGCGCTAGTAAAATGCGTGAATCGTGTTGAATTATAGTGTGTGTTTAAGTTAAAGTGACTGTTGAGATTAAGTGTATTGCAAAGTTGAATTGAGAAAGAATAAACTACTTTTATTTAAGAAAGGACTCGTATCGCTGAAGTTTCTCGGAAAGCATTTCTACGGAAAATTAACAAACGACCAGAGACGTAACAATACCGATTTATTACCCGTTTAGCCTAGACCTTATTCTCTGCGTCACCTCGGTCTTTGTCTATGTTTGTATTTTTGTTTGCCAGAGGAAGGTTTGACGTAGTTTTCTCCAGAGCTTCAGAACAGCTTGACTTATATAAAATGCAAGTTAAGCTGAAGTTGATGATTATTAATTTTCGTGTCTGTTAGTGAGATACAGTGAGTTCTTATCTGGTTCACTTGTAATGGTTTTTGTTTTCAGGAGTGGATTATATTGTTACGTCTCTGTTTGTTTGATAATTTCCCGTAAAAATTCTTCCCGAGAAGCTTCAGATACAAGTCTTTTCTTAAATAAAACTAGTTTATTCTTCCTCAATTCAACTTTGCAATACACTTAATTTCCACAGTCAGTTTAAATTAAACACACGCTATAATTCACAACGAACGATTCACGCACTTTACTTACGACTTGACTCGATTATCTGTCTCTATATCTTCAATCTGCAATTATTTATATCTCTGCCGTCACTTCTCACCGGTCTTATATATACGAAATAGAGGGCGTCTGGAGAACACTCGAGGCTTCACGAACGGACTTGATCTTTTTAGAATCTCATGATGTGTTACTAGAGTCACGTGACTTCCGCTGTCGTAACAATATTACTTTTCCTATTTGGTAATGAGACGAATGCAAATTCCAGTCCACTTAATGGTAAAGAAAACGTTTTATTTCTTAGACTACAAGTTCTACAAGTTAGCTTAGCTAATGTTTTATTATAGGCCTAAGCTCGCAGTAAATGCTAAAACACTAATTTCATTTACTTGCTAATCTCTCTCGCCTTATATAACTTATGGCGTATCTCCTGCTGCGTCGACAAGAATACATATTTAATATTCCACAACTGGAATAACTAACTAACTACCTCAATCAAATAATAGCTCACTACACCAGAATACATGTAAATTACTAACAGACTCAAAGATCAATGATCACCTACTAGCCCAACTAAAGCATTCGAAATGTTAGAAAAAACATGTAGGTTCAAGAAGTCTTGATATAAATGAATAAAAACCCTATAACCCGAGCGCTTTCGAAAGGTGGACCTTTCTTCTTCAGGGGAAACATTCGAGCAATTTCTAGACATTAAGCCACGTGATAAACGTGATGCGTCAAATATCCCTCTGGCCAGTCAACAACACAAACTCTAAATTAAAAGCATAGCCTAGAACAAAACATTAATGTTTGGAAACAAAGGTTAAACTTAACAACTAACAACCTGTAATAAACCTTATTCTCATATGAAATATTTTAAGTTCTGTAAAGCCTTACTGGTCTAATCTAAAGATGAGAAACGCGAAAGACACTCCAAACTTTATTCCTTTCACTTTGTTCATTTCATATTCAACGTAATTCTTCTATTCTTTTTCAGAAATACAGATCCTGTTTACAATTTCCTGTTTATATTATTCTTTTTCTCCATTAACTCGTATCTTTCATCAAGAATTTCATAATTCTTTTGCATCATGTATTCATCCTGTAACCCTGATTACTCTCCCGAGACCCTTTTGTAACCTTACTGTTGTGATTATGTCAAATTCGGCATTGAATTATGTATACATGCACAATATCACAATAATGTCACTCGAGTGTTTGCCAAAGTGTGACTGTAATTAAAAACTGAGATGTGACTATAGTAAAATATAATGTGTGACTGTAGTAAAAACTAGGATGAAGTATAGTAAACACTGAGATGTAAATGTAATAAAAACTAAAGCGTGAAGAGTATTACAAACTAGAATGGAATTTAGTAAAAACTGAGGCGTGACAACAGTAAAAACTAGTGTGGACTGTAGTAAAACTGAGGTATGATTGTAGTAAAAACTGAAATATAGCTGTTGTAAAAACTAGTGTGGACTGTAGTTAAACTGAGGTATCATTGTAGTAAAAACTGAAATATAGCTGTTGTAAAAACTAGTGTGGACTGTAGTTAAACTGAGGTATCATTGTAGTAAAAACTGAAATATAGCTGTTGTAAAAACTTGTGTGGACTGTAGTTAAACTGAGGTATGATTGTAGTAAAAACTGAAGTATAACTGTTGTAAACTAGTGTGGACTGTAGTAAAACTGAGGTATCATTGTAGTAAAAACTGAAATATAGCTGTTGTAAAAACTAGTGTGGACTGTAGTAAAACTGAGGTATGATTGTAGTAAAAACTGAAGTATAGCTGTAGTAAAAACTAATATGTGAATAGTGAACACTGCTGTTAAAAACTTGGGTAGACTGTAGTGAAAAGTCAGGTGTTACTGAAATAAAAACTTAAGTCTAATTGGAGTAAATAAAACTAGGGTAGACTGTAGTCAAAACAGATATGTGACTGTAGTGAAAATTAATTTGTGACTGTATTAAAAATTGAGGAGTAAATATAGTAAAAACTGGGGTAAAGCATAGTAAAAATTGAGGTTTAACTGAAGTAAAAACTAGGGTGGACTATTAAAACTGAGACGTAAATGTAGTAAGAACTACTTTGTTACTGTAGTAAAAACTGAGGTCTGACTTGAGTAAAAACTGATGAATAAATGTAGTAAAACCTAATGTATGACAGTAGCAAAAACTAGGATGAGTATTAGTAAACACTAGGGTGTAACTCAAAGTAAAAACCGAGTTACGACTTTAAGCTGAAAACTCGGGTGTAACTTAAGTAAAAACGAGTTATAACATTAAGCTAAACACTGGGGTGTAAGGCAGAGTAAAAACCGAAGTATAAATGTATTTAAAAATGGAGGTATAACTGTAAGTAAAAATCGAAGTAAAACTCTAAGTAAAATCTAAGGTTAAACAGAATGTAGAAACCGAGGTATAACTGTAAATAAAGTCTGAAGTATAACTGTACTTAAAAACCGAATTAAACCAAAACGTAAAAGTCTATGTAATTTTACGATTTATGTCATTAAAATAAAGTTTCAAGATCAATAAGACTTGAGCCGAGATAGTTTTTGAAAATGAAGCCCGGACTCGGAAGTTATAATTTAATTGTCTACTTATTCTTAATTTATTGAAGATTTTTAGAAGGTATTGTTCATTCCGTATATAAGAATTTATCAAAGTTACAAATTAGTTTCGTGACATTAGCAGTATTGTGTTTGTTTTCCGCTCATTTAGAAGAAAACACTAGCCACAACGAGTCTTGCCAATGTTTCGTGGCCAAAGGTCTCTGTTCAAGTACCTCTTCTTGCAGAAACCTACAGCTCTGACGTCACTGTTCGCCTAACGTCATCAGATATCAAGTGCAAGCCGAACAATGTCGGCCTCTATTGGAGCAGTATAGAACTAGTTTATCTCGGGCCAAATTTTCAAGTTGTCTACGAAGGGTCATCTTGGTTCCAGTCGAGTACAGTGTTTCAAACTGAAGTCAAAAGCTGGCCAGGAAGTCAACCTCTAGAGGATGTTATAGTCGACTGTAGAGTGTTTGATAAGCCAGGAATATACCAGGTTTGACACTGAAAAAACAGTAAAAAAAGTTATATCGTGTATCTATTGATTTTTTAACATTTTTACCATCACGTGTTGTTTTGTTTATAAATTAAAACTTCATGATTCTTATTCTAACAATACATTGTTTGCTTAAGCGCAAACTTACTCAATGGGCTATCTAATCTGTGCCTGAAATAGAGATTGGACCCTGAATTTTAGGGTTATAATTCCCCAAGATTACCGCTTAATAATAAAATATTGTTCGTAATAAACTGAACCAGTTCAATAGTTTTATAACAAGGACTGTATGAAGCATATTGTGAAGTATTAAGAAAACATAAACCTCAAGAAACAACATATTTTTTAAATTTTGAATTAGCAAAAGTTTTCAAACTTATTGTAATAGCAATCAATAATAACACTATCGGGTAACTGGTTTTTCACAAAAAATGAATGGCAAAGATTTTTAATTAACATTTCTTCGATCCCTACTTAGTATAGGATCAACGTTAGAAGTTTAGTTCAGTTAGTTCCAAGAAAAGTTATCTGAATTTTACAAAATTTATAGCTGAGAGATAGAAATCCACCAACATTTAAATATACATCCAACATCTAGTCAAGACACTCAGTGACCGTGTTGCTGCTTTCTTTAATTATTTGTATTTTTATTGAACGAGGTTTTGCAAGTTAGTCATGCACGAACGGTGTTTGTTTTGAATTGTAAAAATATGTCTATTGTTTTTAATAGTTTCATTTTGAGTTTACTGACTGATTCTAAGTATTACAAGTTCCAGCTTTTTCAGTAAGGAAGAATATCAAGACACAAGAATATCAATATCGTTTAGCGTCACGTGATATTAGCGTACATAATGATGCTTGATACGGCTGTACCGAGTGCATGCTGGTGATGACAAGAAACTGTTAATATAGATTCCATGGCGTTGCTGTAAAAGAAGTTACTAGCACTGTTTTAGAGAAGAAAAACTACCATCTTATATTTTAAAGATTATAGTTGGTTTTGTAAAGTATAGGTCTGTTCCGAATAATAGGGTTGCGATCCTAAAGCTAATGTTGGTTATTATCAAGTGTCACTTTCTTACTTGTTGTGGTTTTTTGGTGTGTATTGACAAAGAGTAATGATATCTAATTAAAAACACCTTAGGTGTAAAAAAAGGTGTGGCCAAAAAAGGATTGAGAGTGCGAAGGAGTGATATCAAAATTATAACATTGATAAGAATTTTACAGGAAATATTCATTCTTTAGTTAACCAGTTTGGCCACAATTCTAATTTCATTCCTTTAAGTCCTACGCTCAATCCTTTTTCGGCCACACATTTGTTTCACATCTAAGGTGTTTTTGATTAGATTTTTAAAACAGGTAAGACGTTTCGACCACCATTCTCAAGCAGTGATCGAAATTCAGTACATGCTTTAAAAGATAATATTATTCTTATTGTAACTTGTAAATAATGTATTGTTTTTGTTTGGCTTACACGTTTTTAAATGACCTATAACCTACTTAATTATTCTAATTTATGTATAATTCCAAACTCTCGAACGATGCTATTACAATACCCGGATGTAGGATCTTATATCCGAGCATTACATTCCATTCGAACTTTATATCAGATTTGAAGGGGAGGGGGGGGGGGCTCCTTTCTATGATCTTGTCTCTAACTCTTCATGTTTCGTTATATCTTCATCCATGATGAGAATTATTCGGCTTTGTTAAGTTTATAACGGCAACTAACCCATTCAACTAAACATTACTACACGTTTCATACTCTTGTTATTTATATAGTATATTTTATGGATGGGGCTCTTGTTAGCTATAAGTAGTATGTTCTATGGGTGGGAACTCTCACAATCTATCTATATGTAATATTTTTCATGGATAGGGACTTTTGCTATCTATATATATATATACATAGTATATTTTATGGGTGGGGCTCATGCTATCTATATGTAATACGTTTCATGGTTGGGAGTTTTTGCTGTGTACGTAGTTTTTTTTATGTGAGAGGGGTTCTTGCTATTTTTGTAGTATATTTTATGGGTGGGTATGGTTCTTGCTATGTACTTAGTATGTTTTATGATTGGAACTCATGCTGTCTATGTAGTACGTACATTTTATGGGTGGGTATGGTTCTTGCTATGTACTTAGTATGTTTTATGATTGGAACTCATGCTGTCTATGTAGTACGTACATTTTATGGGTGGGATTCTTGTTATTTATGTAATATGTTTTATGAGTGGAACTCATGCTATTTATGTAGTATGTTTTATGGGTGGGATTCTTGTTATTTATGTAGTATGTTTTATGGGTGGGATTCTTGTTATTTATGTAATATGTTTTATGAATGGAACCCGCGCTATCTATATGTAGTATGTTTCATAATGTATTAAACCTTCGTTAGACACAGCGGACCATTTTTGAATATACTTACAATTGTATTATATTTAAAACTGGAAGCTTATTACTTTTATATCTTTTACTTATATTTTATCATCAGCACATTGGTTTACATTGTACAGTTATTTAACTAACGTATTAGATACCTAAAAAAATTCTAAAAGAACAAAAATAACAATAATAAGGAAGTTGTTTCATGTTAATATGTTCTTACTGTCAATACATATCACTCACAAAACTTTCCAGAGCACCACGGCCCCTATATATATGGTAACTTTCTACAACACGACCTGCAGAAAGCCGGGGCCCCTCCACAATGTGGTAACACTCACGCTAGTGAGAACTATGTCTCCTCCACTGTATGGTTACTTCTGTTCTTAGGTGTGTGCAACTGTTTTTGTCTCCTGATGCTCCTACCACCCACCCAGCAGGCGCCCGACCCCTCACAGGGTAGTAACCTCTGTTCCAAGGTACTCACCATTATTTTTGACATATGATGGGGGTATCACCAACTCTAAAGAGTACCACGGCTCTTCCAGAGTGTGGTGATCTCTGCCATGCTGTATTTACCATTGTTTCTATCCTCCCCTGTTCCACAATGCCACGGCCCCTCCACAGTTTTGTAAACTCTCTCTTTAGGATTCACCATCGTTTCTATTACCTGATGGGCCCCCTCAGTGTCTCAGCGGTAAGTTTGTGGACTTAAATCGCTAAAATTCGGGTTTCGATCCCCATTTTTGTCACAACACATTTAACTCATTGTGTAGCTTTGTTTTTAACAACAAATTAAGTAACCATCCGAATGGCCCCACCACCGTCCCTGCAGAGTACCCCTACCCCTCCACAGTGTAGAAACGTCCGTCCTAAGATGTTCATCATTGTATCTGTCAACTGATGGTTTTACCACCACCCTGCAGAACGCCATGGCTTTTTCATAGTGTGGTAACCTTTAGCAGTAGAGTTTCATACTTTATGTAATGTTACATTATTGTTTCAGTAGTGTTTTACACCTTATACAATGTTACTTTATTGTTTCAGTAGTGTTCATACGTTATACTGTATTACATTACTGTTTCAGTAGTGTTTCACACCTTATACAATGTTACATTATTGTTTCAGTAGTGTTTCATACGTTATACTGTATCACATTACTGTTTCAGTAGTGTTTCACACCTTATACAATGTTACTTTATTGTTTTTGTAGTGTTTCATACGTTATACTGCGTTACATTATTGTTTTAGTAGAGTTTCAGTCCTTATACGATGCTACATTATTGTTTCAGTAGTGTTTCATACCTTATACAATGTGACATTATTGTTTCATACCTTATACAATGTGACATTATTGTTTCAGTGGAGTGTTCGATTCTTTGTTTCCCTTATTTCTGTTTCACGTTAGTTATCATCCTTAACAGGTTCAACTTGTGGGAAGCCAAAGACTGCTCCCCCCGATTGCTAAAAGTCCTCACATCCAGGTGATCTGGAGCTCTCGCTACGATCTCAGTATTCCCCAGTCTCACATCTTTCCGTGCGATAAAGGTGTTCTGGTAATTTACGAGTATCCACCGTGCACACTCAGCGGAGATCGTATTAGAGTGTACGGACGTAGGTCCTCTCCACCAATCACCGAGTACATCTTGGAAACTAGGATAGACAACAGTAAACATTCTCTGACACTACCGTGTGATTTATTCAGTTCCGTGTACCAGACGTTTTGTTTCACGTACGTCAGTGTCGCCGCCAACGGCGCTGTGTTTGAACTGAAAACCTTGTGCAGACCCCGAAACATCGATCCAGGTGAGCCGTTTGTACTTGTAACACTATACACAAAGAATATATATATTCTCTGGTCGTAGTCAAGGATTGGATAAAAAGTCCAACAACTGACAACTTTTTCCGTTGTTTCTATAGTAATTAACAGCTCAGCATTTAAGCAGTAATAAAACTGGAAAAATTCTATCAATTCACAAATGTACTAAAGGTATTTAATTTATGAACATTGAGCCACGGTGTCGAAATACATACTAAACGAAGTAAACTGGATCAAAGAGGATGAAAGTAATGTTTCCTGATCGAGAAGTTTGTTTATTATTAAGCATAAGGTTGCACAATGGACTATCTGCGTTGTAAGTTGTGAAATGTACTGCTGAGCCACCAGGTGGCAGCGACGAGCTAGAGGTACGATTTGCCATTAAAGAAATATATTCATTTAATTCTTCATATTTGCTAGCTTTTAAACCCTGTGACGTTATCTAAGTCCGTCTTCTAAGCCAGCGTGTTTATAGCTTAATGTTGTTGATTTCTGTCTATTTATAATTTACCAAGATAACGAGGTATAGATTTGTTAATATACTTTTAAGCCTTTAAAGTTATTGAAATGCCAGTCTACTATCAATACTAACGTTCCATGTTTGTTGACGTGCGACTCTAGTAGTATACATTATAAAGCTCTTGATAAGTTTACGTGGATGTCTTCTGACTTACTTATTGACATTCTATGCGTGCTTACGTGATGAAATACTGAATCGTAACGGTTTAAGTGATGATAGAATAATTATAGGTGATCACAGAATAATTATTAAGGTTACTGATACGTTTACGTGACAGTATACTTATACTGAATTATCTAATGACGTTCTATGTATTTCTATACATATAATGATTATTCTGGCTTCACGATTAACTTCACTTAGTTTCAATATACACTTTAATTAACCAAAATACAAATAAATCTGTGATATATAGTACACTAGAATTAACATTAAGTACAAAGGGATTCTCATGGGTAGTCAGTTAGGGTGTTTAGTGAAATAAAATACATCGATGTGTGACTAAGTCCTTAAGACAAACTCTGCTGTACTAGATTACTTTGATATCCCTTTTTTGTTGTTGTTTTTAAAACGTATAAAAAAGAGGAAATTTTTCTGTCGTGGATAATAACATCGTTTTTCTTGTGTTCTTGTTTATTTTCAAATACGTACTTTAAATGTCTAGTTACAGGAGGACTAGCATCGCTTGGTGGTTAAGGCGTTCTATTCGCAATCTGAGGGTCGTGAGCTCGAGCCCCCAAGAGTTGGCGGTGGGTGGTGCTCACTAGCTATCTTGTCTATCGCTACTAAATTAGAGACGGTTAGCGTAAATAGGCCTCATGTAACTTTGCGCGAAATTCAAACCAAACTATTTAGGGAAAATATGGCGTATATAAAACCAAGTAAAAAAGCCTGATTTTTCTAATTTGTATTAGGAGGGTCAAGGGCATGGTGGAGCACATGGAGCTCTTGGTCACAGTGTTCATCAACCTGCGACTCTGGTATTCGTAGTCGGTACCGGCTCTGCAGCGCACCTAGTGACGACACTCAATGTGAAGGAGAATCTACCGAATCGGAACCATGCGTTTTTAGCGAATGTTTGGGTTAGTTATTACAATTATTTTACTGTAAATCTCTCATTTTGTTTAAAAACGGTCGCAAAAAATAATCTAAAAAGTATTTCATGAAGGTGGGTTTGACCGTGTTTTATTACAGTATTAGCAGAGACCCACAAAACATTCGCGGTTAAATCAGTAACTTTATTTCAACAGTGCTTCTTTTAAATACATTATTTCTAGAATGATATAAAACACTTCTAACCGCGTTTACTGAAATCTACAAGTTCACTCGTGTTAGGCCTAACATTAGTTAAGACTTTAGTAAACACGGCCTATATTCGATACAGAGATAAATTACCACTGTAACTTGTGTACGTTTTTGGTTTTAGTTTAGTTGGAGCTAAATTTTACCGTACTTAATACTCTCAGTAAATAAAATTATAATGTCATTCTATAATCTAACTTAGAACTTTTTAAAAACTTTAATGTTGTTGTACAAAATGTCTACTAAGTTATATTTATATCTGCCTTTTGTTTAGATCCGTTTAAATGAAGTGTGCGCGCATGCGCATTTTCAGGTATTTGAGTACTATTATAATAGATCTGCCAGGTTACAGGCTTAGTGCTGATCAACTCTGGAACCGAACAGTTTGAGAATGTTACGTTAGTGCAACATAGGAATCAATACATATTGAAGGCTTACCAGATACCAGAGCTGCTTACATTATTTCAACTGAAAGATTAAACAGTAAAAATCACCAGTCGTTTCCATACATCATGTTGTTACGTTCCGTTCTATTCAGTGTAGTTGGGAAGCTATGGGTAGGAAAGTGTCACTCTAGCTGGGAGGTTATGGGTAGGAAAGTGTCACTCTACCTGAGAAGCTATGAGTAGGAAAGTGTCACTCTAGTTGGTAAGCTATGGGTAGGAAAGTGTCACTCAGCTGGGAGGTTATGGGTAGGAAAG